TCCTAAACCGAGGAATTTTCTACTCGAAGTAACAGTTATGATACCTTGATGTCAATATTCCAAAAGAAGGCTTGGCCATTAATTGGTTCTGTAGGTAGAGGAAGATTATTTCCAGTGTTAGCGTTTAATCATTAGGTGGGACAATAATTTATGGACGAATCAATCACGTTTACGATAACGTCTTAGATTTTGGCGCGAAATTCATTCATGCACTTGGCTAAATAGTCTTGGCATGATACCTGATGTCAATTCATGATAAAAACCCTAGATCTAATTCTTAACCCTAACCATAAACACTCAAGGTCACTATGGCATCGCTCAAAAGTCGTCCATAAATTATGGTCTCATCACTTTTTCCTTATTATCATGATCGACTGGACAACTGTAAATAAGCTCATATATTTTTACAGAACGACCAATAACTACACCAACTGGTGATGCCAAGAGTACAAATACATCGAACATTACATTCGGTCATATTATTTAGAAGTGAGTATGTACTTCTGGGATATGATAATTACTATAACCAAATGTCCAGAATTATGATTTAGTCGATGGTTAGAGTTAGAAATCAGATTAAGGGTTTTCATGACGAACTGACATCAGCTATAGTGCCTAATATGCACTCAGCCAAATGAATAAGTGAGTTGTGGGATAAAATCCAAGAAGTGTTATCTTATATCTGATTGGTTAGTCCAAAATTATAGTCTCGCCAGTTTGAATGAAAACATAATAGGCTATTCGCAAAATGTTGAAATGTGGGAGAAACATAGTATGTCAGTGAAACAACGCTGAATACATGACCAGGAACACAAGGCATATATTTTATTGCAATTCATGAACTGATAAGGTTAGATATTTGAGCCTAGGATATCCTAGGCTCAAATATATATATTTGGACATTGAGGTCTATGGGGAAATAAAAAAGCAGCATGTACCGAAGTTGTATGGGAGCATACAACATAACTTACATTCCAAACTCAAATTGGCGCTAATCAGGTACGGACAAGTCCCACACAAGAACTTGACAGCCAGTAGGGCACCGAAGCGACAAGAAATGAACGTCGCGCCTCACACTCAACCTACAATTTATGGAAAGGATGACCTAAGCGATATGAGTAGAAGGTGTAAAGAAATATGAGTTTGAACAAGTAAAATCGTCACCTGGAGGCTTCACAGTAACCACGCTCCTTGGTTAGTATTTTTTTCAACACACTAGACTAGAAATGAATACAATACAGAGAAAATTCTCCTTAGACTGAGTCGCAAAGTCGTGCAGAAAGAAAAACTGAGAAATGCATCTCGAGTAAGGACTGATGTAAGGCAACGTTGTCCACTCACTCTCCTCCTCTCTGTAAGCTGGTGACTGAATTAGGAAAACCCGATATTGGGTATTCTATATACAGTGTAGCGGTACATAAATCCCGAAAATAAGTAGCTTTCTAAGTCTTGGAAATTGGGTGCTGACCACATTGGTTTTGACGGATTCACCTAAAGGCGCTTCCTCCTGTATCCGCATCATATGACGAGTGGGAACGCCGTACTCAACATCCCTTGCAATCGCTAGCCAGATGAGATCAGTTGCTGTAAAACTTCAAATACCTGCGGCACGTTCAACAGCTTGGATCCGACTGCAAATTCTATAAGTGAGGTTACTTTCGATATTCCAAAAAGCGTTATAATTTCTTGGTGTTGACCAGAACAATGTTACTTATTTACCTCCTTAAAAATTAAATCACGTAATAATTTATTCGCCTGGCTAACCAAAACTTACTAACCAGAGTACATTGTTCCTACAACACAAAACAGATAAAATCTTATCGGAAAAACGTACTAATAGATGGGCGATGAAATGAAATACATGTGTGAACTGTCATGCTGAACAAGACAGAGAACACGATTTGAACTTCGCATGTGCACTGGTCTTTCTATCTCATACACACCAACAAATGCAGGTCAACCAACCAACATAGTAGAAGCCTATGAATCAGTAAGTCCCAACAAACAAAAAGAAAAAAACAATATTTTCGAACACAACACGCAGAACACCAACCCAGTCACACCTGATAGAAAAGCTCTGGAAGAGTGTGAAACTTTCAAATACCTGGACGGCATCATCGAAAAACAGGGAGAAGCTCATGCAGACGTAAAGACAAGAATCGGTAAAGCAAGGGTAGCATTCCTACAATTAAAATACATCTGGAAATCAAAACAACTGTCAGCTAACACCAAAGTCAGAACGCCAAGATAGTTCTACTGCACGGAGCTGAAACTTCGAGAACTATTACAACCATCATCAACAATGTACAAGTATTTACAAACAATTGTCTACGCAGGATACTAAATACCCATTAGCCGAATACCATCAACAACAACCAACTGTGTAAGAGAACAAACCAGTTTCCATCTAAAGAGGAAATTAGGACAAGACGCTTCAGGTGGATTGGAGGACATACATTGAGGAAATTATCGAACTGCATCACAAGGCAAGTGCTAACTTGAAGGGGAAAAGGAAGGTGAAAGATCAAAAACCATTTCGGGTCGGGAAGTGGAGGCGGACATCAAAATAATGAATGACAACTTGAAACAACTGGAAAGGATTGGTCAGGACAGAGGTGTTTGGAGAATGTCAGTGGGCGGCCTGTAGCGTGGCGTCGAGTTGTGATTGACTATGATCACCGCTACCAAAAAACACGTGCCAAGTTAATCAGAAGGCGAAGGTTGGACGTAACCAAATAAATCCATAAAATCTTCGAGAAGCCAAATATCAGAAGACAGTTAATGGACCAAATCGAGATATATATTTGCTGGCGATCTCGTGGTATCGAAAGGATACCGAGATCGTGCCAGGATACAAGCCTGGTTACAGAACGTAACCGAATTCGCTCGAAGTTACAATCGAAGTGTGAGAATAAGAATGGAAGCACAAAATAGCTGTCATTAGCACAGTCAAACAAAAGCACATTAAAACAAGCACTGGTACAGTTGGTTATAATAATAATTGTTTTTATTAAACCAGTCGTGTTCTCGTGATAAATGTGGGTCACTACAGGTCTATGCTCGTCCACGAGGAGTAACAGGAGTAAGCCATCATATGCGCCCAACTATACACATTCATAGGGGCGTCGAAATACATATGTAGGGACGTTGAATAATTGTTGCTGAAAAAGATTGCATCGTTTATCTGCTGAAGAAATTAACAAACGACTTTAATATGAACAAGCTCGGGTGAGGTAAAGTATAGTATGGCGAACTAATTCGATCCGGATAGAATTATTTCAGTGAACCCACTTTAATTCGAGCTCTGAATATACCCTTTTCAGGTATCCTGAAGCGTCAACACCGTATTTTTGTGAAAATCATAAGTTATTTAAGCTAAGTGCCACAATGTTTGTATCTGAACTATAAGACAGGAATAAATGCAAACAGTTTCTACAAATGAAAGTCTGTCTGATGGCTGATAAATATGATTATGTCACACATCTGGCAAAAGTATAGATTGGGGACGAACCGAAAACAACTGTAGCAAATTTTAAACCACTTCTTGTTCAATGAGAAAACAGCCTTTCCTAATGGGTACTTTATGGGGAATAAAACAATAGGGACATAAAATGTAAAACGTTCTTACGTTACCGATGAACGTACTAGTCTTCCACTAGTCACTATAATAGTAAGTTGTAGAAACTATCACAAAAGTCGACATTATTACTCATTTTTCCTAACCCCTGAACGAATCCAAATAAGATTTTTGGGTTCATAGTTAGGGTCTTCTTCACGAGCTAGTATCACCTCTAACCCAAAGTGCTCCATGAGGAAACTGAGAAAGAAGTTGACTGCAAAGGACCAAAAGGCGCTACCTGACCAGTTCTCCAATGAAATAGTCCAAATCGGCCTGAGTAGGAGGGGTTGACTGCTCTCTTATATGCAAGCTTTAATTGGGATTGAACATTTGATACGATAGTTTTTACTGTATGTCGACATAAAGCTATCTCCTGCAACCATTGTCAACATTCTCAGCATCATACAAAATGACTCTACTCATTATATATTTGAACTTCGCGCCAAAAGCTTAGAATCCTCTTTTCCGTTTGGACAGTCTCAACACTATATTATAAGCACATACTCAAGATCATGCCTTTGTTGTTCTACTCTCGTGACACGAGACGTTAGTTGCAATTCGACTTAAATAAAGCAAACTACGAGAAAACTATGCATTCTTATACTCGTAAGAATGAAAATGATGGACAGTTTTGGATGGATCAGGATATAATTGTTTTCGAACACATAACTACACCATACGTAGCCGTGGAGAATATTTTCAAATAATAAAAGGACGAGTCACAACACATATGACTACTTGATATGCTGTGTAGATCATTACTATTCTGTGAAAGTTTATGATAATATAATTCCGAGCACAATCCCGCTTCTTTTAAAGCGTGTGATCAGAACCAGGAATAAATGGCAGAATTCACTCAATAATAGCTCACTATACAGTACCAACAATCATTCCCTCGATAGAGATTAAATTGGGGAGGCAGGATCTGGGGCTCGAATGAGAAGCCTTTGCCAGTGAAGTTCGACTATGTGAAGCGGTTATCCGCTAGACACTAGGAGGAACTTGTGCAATATCACTAGAAAACTGACATTAAGTTTGCAAACCACTTGGTCCAGGATTGGTAATTTAAAGGCTAAATATGAGCTATGAACTGAAGATTTTGGGTTTGGTTTACAGCAGGGTTGTCGAGAGGCATTGTTGTAGGGTCATAAGCGAGTAAAAACCCTCTAGTACTGTCTTTCCGCGCTTACTTAAAAAGTTGTCAATGGCGAAAAAATTTTTATTTGAAAATATGTTGGTATTAAAAAACATTAAAGAGAATGGAGGCACAGAAAAGTAAACTAAAATATTCCACATAAATGAATCATGTTATATACAGTTTATACGCGTAAAAAGTTACTGATCATTTGTTTCATCTGGAATTGAGGCTAACTGATGCACGTTAATCTAGAGGTGAAAAGCAGTGCAAAAATGATAAATTAGTGAAATATTTATTTGGTTGAAAATAACACAACATAAAAACATATGGAAGTATTATCATCTAAGTCCCTCGATTAATTCCTAATTATTAATAATTGAATAATCGTTGGAGCTCTACGTTATGTTGAAGCGAAGTCAACAAAGACTAAACCTTCAGAAGTATCCCGCAGGGGATTACTGTTATTAGTTTTTTCTATTTGTCAGCTTTCACTTGATGCATATATCGTTATTCTTCATTGTTACAGATTCATAGCTGTAGCATACATTGTAACTTCTTGTATGTGTTGCTATGTGGTTAGGTATTTAGGGAGTACTATTAAAGTTTCTACGTCATTGATAAATAGAAAGTAATAGTGAGACCTGCTTGATAAATCCGTGTTCTGATTAAACATTGGACTAGGAGCTTGAAGACAAATAAGTCTTAATGTTAAGGTCGTTAATTGACGGTCACTAAGTGAATAATCTACCTCTATTACCTATCTTATGAAACTTGTAACGAAATAACGATACTGAGGTAATCTAATCTTCTTCAAAGTACTCAATAAACTGTCCTTTATACCCAGTCAAGTAATTCAATATGTAGAAACTTCTAATTACAACATCTGTAACTTTTTGTCATCAGCGAAACAAACCCATTTTAGATCACCTCTCCATATGAATTATTTTACCTGTGAATTTTTCAGATTCTGGGATAATCTACCACAATCTATCCGTAAGATAAAATCACTCCTATCCTTTGTTTGATGCACTAATGCTTACTTCTCCTCTGAAAATGCATCAAATGTCCTAGTATCTGCAAGTGCATCTTATTCCACAAGTGAGATTATAGGAACCTTAAATATTTAGCGATTTTTCGCACTGAATCAACTAAGTAAAACCTACCTGCTGTTACTTTACATTACCACAGTCCCTGGCAACGATAACTAATTTGAATAATATCTAACACGAATAGTAGATCAGAAGAAATCCTGACATATGTATTGTGGTAGACCTAACTAACCTATCGTAATAACTGTTGCCATTTTTTCCGTGCTCTATGCTTTATTTTCTTTCGTTATAGATGGTCATAATAAGTTCGTTATGGCGCAGGAAATGACTTTAGATACACCGCTCATATATCAACAGAATATCCACTTAAAAAGAATTAAAAGTTCCCGGTTTATGCCTTTGATTGTTGTAATACATGTGAAAAATGTACTACCTAAACAATTTTTGAACTAGTAAACTGAAAACAATCTTATATTACATTTTTGCTCTCTACATTTAATGTTGCTGTTTATATTAAGCATATCATGCATGTAACCTAGCATGAAGTCTGTAATTATTTTCAGAATATGTGTTATTATATTGTACACCTGTACAGAATCCACATATACCTACAAAGTGAACTAAATATCTAAACAAAGTTCGATGCATAAAAAAAAATGATTAATTCATTTAAGGAAATGTGACTTTTAAACGATTTAACTTAATTGATAGATGGAAACGAAATGAGTAATATTATCTTTGACTAAACTAACAGTGTGTGATACAAACAAACACTGAAACAATAAAGAAAAATAATATATTTATAATATCGCAATGAGTAAAAAAATTAAGTTTTTTCTGAAGAAGTGGCTTACTATGAGTCACGAAATGTCAGAAAAATGAAAAAAACTCAATTTTTCTACTCAATGTGATACTACAAATATATTATTTTGATTTATAACAATCTATCCAATGTTCAATTTATTTGAAATTATCAAGTCAAAACTTGGTAATGACACTTACAAACGAAAACAATAACATTTTATGGAAGAAGCTTGATGTACATTAAAGAAAAGGAACATTTTTGAGGATATAGTGATGCTGTATAAGTATTTGCACACAAAAACCTATATTGATCAAGTGATCATAAGCCCGAACAGATAAACAAGTCAACAAAAGATTTGTCTGAGTTATGGCAGTCCTTCTTTAAATTTGTGTTTCTATACATTACAAATCCTAAGAAAGTATTTGTAATTGAATTAACCTCTACGTTTCTAACCAATAACAATCGTATACTTAAAGATATGTTAAATGAATTAATATACAGATTGACAGTCTCGAATTAATGATATATATATTTTTGGTGTATATAACTAAAAGAGTAAATATACCTGATCTGATACGACAATGTGGATAAGGTGCATCGTGCATAATAGATTTTAATGTGTATACAACATTTAGCAATGATGAACACTGAAAAGAAGATAAATATGGAAAATGATTATTTATATATCAAGAAGAAATCTCACATGAATTATTACTCACTATTAAAAATTCAGTTAGATTTCTAAAGTTTTAAAATGATGCTTGAATAGCAAGCATATATGAAATGCGCTTCTCTGCATCTAAATGTAAAATTTCACTTTAGGAATCGTCTGCGTCAACGCCTAAACTAATGATAGAGGATGAAACGGTTGAGTGTATCGACTATCTCATTTACCTCGGAAGTCTCTCTAGATCTGGTGGGCTGGTGTCTGAAGAAATCTCAGTAACAATTTAGCAAGTTTGGTTAGTCTTTACCGATTTACATCAGTCGTAGATTAAGCGAAATTTTCGTCTGGCAGCCCAAGGACATGTATATTGCGCAGCAACCCGTCTTGTGTTGCCTTATAGCTGCATAACATGTAATATACATTGCTTTTAACATTAGAGATGCTAAGCAACTGACAGTAATCTACCATAATAAAATGAATTTAAGCTACTGTGATTAAATATTGCCCTTATTCTTTTCAAGTCAAGAAAAGGAAAGAAGTGTGCAAAGGGAATAAATGACCACAATGAAAATAAATAATAGACTTAGATAATGAGGACTTTCAGTTTACAAATACTTGCTCTCACGTAGTTCTATACATTTTTAAATTAAATAATATTAACATGATACTAAGTTTTTTCCTGCAAAAGTTTAGTCATAAACCAATATTATTGATGACAATTTTATGATAAACTCATTAGTTAGTTAAATGAAAGTAAATTCAGGATGTTAGAGCTAATCTATAGGTTATTTGCGTCCTGAGGATACAGGAAAAAAAATATTAATTTACAATATATCTCTCATATTTCCCGTGAAACTATATTTGACAAAAAATAAATAATGTAATAAGAAAACAATTTAGAAATAACGTAAGAAAATATTCATAGACAGTAAACAGAAATTTTGGTGATAAATAATTCAGTAGAACTAGACTGAATAGTTTTACCTGATCTCTATATTTTTCAACTTCCTCTATAAATTTTGAACCAATACAACCGTAAATTTCAATAAGCATACATTGAATAACTTTTACAGTTTCCTGTAAAATTTCCATACGAATAGATTGATAACTTTTAATTTTTACCGATTTTGTTACACCAGACGAATCAGGAAGAAATGGTTCCAAAAAAGGGAGGATTAAACCCCAATCAATTTTATTTACTGAAATTATTAAAATAAGAACAATATGGAAAAGTGTGTAATTCTATTATTACTTTGATGTTAGATGATACCTGGAAGTATTCGATAAAAAATCCTGCTTAACCTAGGTCTCATGCTAGTTGAAACTCGTTATCAAGGTGTACCTAAGATCGTGAGAGGATAGAAACTCTCAGGAGGATTCGAAACCGATTCGTACAGTTTCACAGTTGATGTTACCACTGGACAATTTAAAAAAAAACGATTGAGCTCCTGTAGGACCGATATAGTTACACTATCCAGACTCAGGATTTCCATCAACTAACCTTGAAACGTAGAACATGCGATGTTGAATCACAGACTAACAGATACATTGAAATTTGATTCATAGAATATCAGGACTAAGGACTAGGCAAACATGACATTGATCACTACTCAGTAAATAGTCGGTGCATTCTAGTACATTGAATTTTAAAGTTTTGTGAAGATTCTGATGGTTATTTTTATTACGAATCGACATATCAGATGAAAAAAACTATGGAACACCGGACAGACATATTTCGTTCTATTTTGTTAACAACGTACAACCACGACCGAACCACATGGATTCAGATGTAGCCAATTTCATAGATCATAATATCACTACACTATTACTGCTAATCAAAAGACAATTTACTTGTGAAAATCTACACATAAATGTACTAAAACTCAGCTTGTAAAGGAACAGGGATATAGCTGACAAATCAGCCAGAACTTATTTATATCTTTTCAGAACATTTTGAATACAAATATATCTTGTAGTTGATAAGTTAGTTAATTCATTTGTAAAAGTTTAGCAAATCAGGCAAGATATGTGGTTTTTACAGGATGGAAGATAATATCCTGTTTGCAACAAATGTAGAGTTCAAGCTCACTAATCCTGGTTAAAATCAAGACCTGAACAATAATAAGTATTAATTCATAGAGGTTTTGCAAATGATTTTGGTCAATGACAAAATCATTTTAGGATTAAGAGTGGATAAAATAGGTCATGTATACAGAAACTTATTTATATCAGACAATTATTACGAATCAAATAAGCAACAACAAATGATTAAGTTACTTACTATAATTTCTAATTTCAGAACTTCGACAAGAAAGTTGAGCAAGTGAAAGATATGCAACTTTGGCGAAAGAAATCGACTTCATATCTAAAGAGAAAGGTTCATCCAAACTGTGTATAGGATCAGAGGGATGACTATCCTGACCTTCAGGTTTGATCCGATGGCATAAAATATCACAACCAAAACAACAAATATGAACCAGACGTAAAAGAACACTGACAGAGAAAAAAAGAAATTACGAAAGTAATATAAAACTCATTTGTTTTTGTATAATTCATATAACAAAAAAAGTTTTATAATTAGATTATATGAATGTGTTAGAAAATAGACAGATTACTTTTAGTGATAGAACAAAGGAAATCGTAGACAATACACTTTTACAATGAATAGTTTACTAGGCTTGAGTTTTGTCTGATAAGCACTTTTCAACAATAACTCAATTTAAGAGACAACTTATCGAATTTCATTAATCAAAAGTATAAGTTTGACGCAAAAGCATTTGACAGTTTAAACTCAGGTTGATATAATAGTTGGCAGCAGACAAAGATGATTTACGTCGGTTTAGATGAAAAACGTAAAAAAAATTCTCTTGCAAAAAAAACTAACCTCAATCCAATAGAAGGGTCAACAGCAGTATAAATATATCGAACTAATATCATTACGGTTATAATACGAGGATTCGTTAACAATGAAGGAGTGTTACGATTTAGTTGTAATCGTTCAGCAAGTTGTATTAGACCACCCAATAAATATTTTAAATTGTCAGCCTTAACCTCACGAAATAAGAAAGGCCGTGTAAAAATCTAATCAATGAAAGTAATTAAATAAAAGTTAACGATTAAAAAAGATGAAAATTTTGAAAGCGAATATCAACTAACAGTTCAAAAAAGTAACAAAAAAGAGATAATTTTTTTTGAGGGAAGAAGCTTAAAAAGCCAATGCTTTCTATCTTAGATAAACTGATTTGTAGATTTATACTAAACAGTTATTACTCGCTTAATAGCCGATATATTTTTTATCCGACCATATTGAATCGGTCATTTTTGTGTTTGCCTATATCGAGAATTGGCTGTTGTTCTCGAGTTTATCAAGTTAAATGTGAGCTTTAGCAAATCATAATTTATTATGGAACCATTTACTAAACATGTATACATATGTAAATATTTTTAGCAAGTCAAGATGGTTTGCCGACTTTATGTGACCTTGGGTATGCTATCTCGGTTAACCTAACAAGATGTTTATTATTAAGCTGCACGATATCAGGACTCAACCATGCAAATGAATTGTGAAGCTATAAAATAATGGTTGAGCAAAAACTATGTAAATTATCGACAAGCGTTTCATTATGGCAACTACATTTTAGGGTAATTTCATAACAAATATTTACGATGAAAGTGAAATGTAATAATGACAAAGTATACAAATGGTATACAAGAGAAATAAATTTCCAAAAATAACTCACACATATTAATACATCGCCTAGACATTGCATGAAAATCGCTTGACCTGCGTTAGATTCACTTTTGTACAAACGATTACAAAGTAACGTCAACTGAGTAATAATCTGAGGCATAAAAGGTGGAAGCAGATCACATGTTCGAGGATCTAAATTTGCATGACAGAAATAAAAAAAAATCACTTTCAAAGAATGCAAACTATAGTTGTACTAAACTAGTTACTACACAATTTTAGTATAACTTCGCAACTAGAGGGGAGATACATGTACTCATTCAACTTGAAACCAAACTTTTCAAGAACTTTAGTACTAAATTTTTGAATCCTAAGTGAATGAATAACTAAGGACAATTCTCATCAAGTACGACTGAATTGCGTTAATGGGACAAAAATGTTACTCATATATAAATAATCCAAACCAACGTTAAAATAAAGATTAATTGTATTAACCCATTGTCCATCTAGATATATGATTTATGAAGTTCAGTAAACGAATCTGATGAAAACAATGAGTATTTCACAGTTCAATTTCGCTGGACAAGCAAAAGAATATATAGCTAACTAGGTATCCGTAGTAAAATGGTTTAAATGAACGAATGAATGAGAATGACAAACTTTGGAAGAGAGTTTTAATGTCGGTATTTACAACTTTAATGTGTATTTATGAGATTAGTGTTTTTGCATAATTGTAAGTCTCCAATTAACTGGTTAAAAAACTGCACTTCAGACTTTGTAAAGTTAAATGTCCTAATTAGACATATATTTCAATTTCTTATCTACGACGCGTCACGGTCTTGTAATTCATGCAATATAACCTTGTGAGTTCTTAAGTCAGATGAACAAAAGTCACATAGGATGTTTTGTTGGGGAGACCCAAGGTACCCGAAAAAGTCAAGAGGGGCTCTGGAAACGCTGGGAAACAGTCAGCGTTGGATAGGAGCGTCTCAGAAACACCTGCAAAGTAGAGTCACACGTCACATTTCTGACTGGATGATTACTTACCCTGTTACTATGTTTAGTATGGTTCGAGAAACTTTCAGAAGCCTAAAACCAACTGAAATACTATAAATACCCCCAATTTTCTATACATAAGCTAAACTTGGAGTAAAGCGTTCTTTTCACAATTCGTGCCTTTTCTCTCGTATTCAATTTGTCGTGTAGATTTAGTCTGAGGTTATTAGAAGAGCTTAGGAAATCGATTCAAGCGTCCAGTTGGAAGACTTATCAGTTTATTGACGTGCTTCAATGATGTTTGGAGACAAGGACTCTGGGTGTGCTAATAAGTGTTAGCATATCAAGTCACTTTGTCGGGTCATCTATATTATTAATATAAGCATAGCAATTCAAGGTCATATCAAAACCCAATAGTTCGATTGCTACATTTATATCAACCTAATCAAAACCGTCATTGTATATGACCAAAAATGAAATAATAGTCAGTGCCATACTAGGAAGAAACGACCGCTCAGTGTTTCCAGGTTTTGAATGATGATTTGACTAAGATAGGTTCATGATTTCAGTGAAATAAAATAATATTAAGACAAGAGTAAACAGAATATAAAATAAAATTTGCCTTGAATTAATACTTCTAAGTCGATAAGAGCTCCATGGACGATGTTATTGAAACCTGATCGGTCATCTTCATTTTCATCAGTGTAGACCTGATGGCAGTTTTCAGTTGACGGTGCACGATTCTCATCTTGGGCTTCATCATCAGATACAAATCCTCCTAACTGATCAACTAAACAAGATAAAGCTGCGGTAAGTTGACTTGAAGCTGCTATTCTGTCTGATTCACTTAAAGATGGATTATCACGTGCAGTAATTAGTGGTAATAAAAGAGAAGGGGCAGCTGGAGACAAGTGGAGAGGTGGTGGGCTTTTAGGTCGTTTAGTACTAAAACATACATTTAAGATGATAATGACAATAATAATAACAAACCAAATATACAATTAGCAAACAATGATTGTGTTATTAAAAGAGAGTAAGAAATAACAGCGAAAAATAATGAGTTAGCAAATAAAATTTATTCATAAATCCTTAGTTGATTTTGATTGCAAGTAAATACTGACCACATAATGATAAAAAAAATCCTAAGAAGTGAAAACGATATAGTTTATCATTAAAGTTTAGTACACCGTTTACACGTTAGGAAATACATCCGTAAAATAGTACGAAGTTTAAAACTGAGTTTTAAGTTTCTTCTTTTATTATCCAAAGATACGAAAAAAATCAAAAGATGTATAAATCATACAAACTCCTTAGTTTACTGAATGCTATCTGTTACTAATGAATTCGTACAGAAACCGACTATGTGGTTGGGTGCGGTTTATACCTATCTTTAAAAAATAACCTTATTTCAATCTAAATCGTACTTTAATATTAAAATTAACTGGTTGCCTATGCAATTATTGACCAAATTCTTTTGTTATCCACAATGTATATGTCGTAAATTATGAGAATTTCATATCCAAAAGTTAATATCTATCTGTATTTCCGATATAATTCTAGAAATTTCTGACAAAAGTTCATAGATCATTTAGTTAACACCTAAGCCCGATAGATAGAATGACTTCAACTCAAAATTGCGTATAAAATAATGTAGGTAAGTACAATTAATTGGATTCAAAACTAAAGATTCAATGAATCACCAATAAAGCACTTCTTCATTTCTTGAAAATACATTGTATCGCTATTGCTTAAATTGATAGAAATCTTATACTTAGAATGTTTAGTAGTGGTCCGTAAGAAGCCACAAAATTATTACTAGCCAATGACATATGCTTCTATTTATTTATTTGAATATAATTCGAAATTGAGTAGTGACTATATCACACTGATCACTGAACAGTTGTCAATGTCATGTTTGTCTAGTCCCTAGTACTGATTGAATTCTACTGATCAAGTCGCGACAAATCTAGGTAAAGGGTATCCTAGTAAACACTTTTGAACAAACACGTAACACTAGTGATTCTATCAATTGATTAAAAAAATATTTCATATCCTTTTTTAAAATAACTATTTGAGTTATGAGTTTTGAACTTATGATATGCTATAGTCTGACAGACTAAATGCATAATTTGTGTGCATTGGTATACTTAAGAGATTTGATGAGTATATAAACAAGTTGTGATTATTCGTCTTGAACTTCGGTTAGTTAGATGTTCAGAAAAACAAACAAGTGAAAAAGTAAACATGCACAGTTTACTATTAGATGGATAGCACAGGTTGTTTACCATCGTAACTGTAAGATAATTATGAAAATTAACACAAACTAAACTAAAAATAATTGTACTATAATAGTAGACAGAACCAAAAGAATGTATATTAAGAAACCTCAGTTAATTAAAATAGCCAATTGAGCCATGGAATAAAAATAAGGAAGAATTTTTTTTATTTTGATTTAAAGTTCAGTTAGCATCCATGGAAAACTTACCGACTATACTCTCCTGTATAAGGTGCAGTTATTACTGAAGTATCTCTTGTTATAAAAAATTCAAATGGTGTTTTCATTGAAAGTTCATCAAAGTTATTCGAGACAGTCAAAGTTGGATCAGTATTAGATGATGACAGATATTGTTCAAGTAATTTTTTATCATTTTCTGGAAGCTAAAAAAAATTAGCATAACAGCATATGGTGTAGTTATTGATAAATGAATTAGAAGATAGCTCAAAACGATTACCTCATTGTCATGTTCTTCATGGCAAGACGTGTTGAGTAAAAATCAAAAATGATCAGGAAACTGACAGTATTAGTATATGGAATAATTAAAAAATTCAGTCGGTTAATTAGGTATCAATAAATAGTGATTTAAGATTGTAAAGTCAAATCCATATACTTCAATTAAAGAATATTTTCTCGTTCATATTAATTCTTTAGTACGCCTTTCTAGTTCAGACACTGTAACAAAATCTTTCGATAAACAGAGTCCATCGAATGTTGCGTCTACATCAAGAACTATAACTGTATACGAGCACTGGTAGGTATACCTAATGAAGAGCAAACGCTTGATAAATACATTCATATCCAGGTCTGAAACCACCAATAAATTTGTTCAACACTGCAACCTAGTCACAGGATGAAAGCACTGTTGATACTGAGTGTCACGCAGGTTGCTTACACACCCACTGAGTAGGATCTCTAGTGAGTAACCCAGTAAGCTAGTTTGAGTCCCATAAAATATAGAAACGACGAATAGCACAAGTCGATACTAGCCAATAATCAGATAAATTTCCAAGTACTATTTTATTTACCAGTCGCATGAAGACTGATGATAATACCTAGCTGCTTAAAAATAGGTGTAGATGAAGAAGATTCACACTCGTGACCCAAAATGTAGCAGTCGCATAATTTCGTACATTAGAACATACCAATACCTATCATTATATTCTAACATGTGAACTGTAAGTAAACCAATAAAAGTTGCATTCCAAGATGATGAAATTTAGATGGTATACACAAAAATCATTACTAAAAATATACACCAAAAGTTTTACAAAACTTACATTTCCAATATGCTGCCAAAATAAGGATCCTAAAAATTTATAGGCTACACATAAACAATTCAATGCAGATTTCTTCACTCCAGAATCAGAGTCAGCAAGTTGCTGGGCAATTAGTTTTAGATGAAGTTCTGAAGTAAATCCTTTTAGGTCACCGGAACGCGGTATAAGACTAAGTAATTCATCAAGGCAAACTGAAAGAAAAGTAATACAAACGATCTAATAAAATATAATCAGAACAAATTATAGAAAAATTCGATAAGTAACTAAAATTAGAACAAAATAATACCATATTAACTACTCTATAAATATCATGATGGTAAAATATAATAAACCATTATAAGTACAGTTATGTAATTCGAGAGACGATCAATAATCCACAGAAAATGTTACCATCCAGAAATCGACCAGAAACTAATTCAAGCTATCTTATAGCTAAGAACCACAAAAAAAGAGTAGGTTATTGAAACAGGAACAAATCTCACTAAATTGACTAGGTAGTTTAAGATAGTTTATGAATCCGGTGTCCATCTTGTTGTGTTAATGAGGTATGGCAACTTGGACCGATGCATATATGTGCCTGGTCCTACGATGTAGCTGACTGACTGACTGAGTTTAAGATAGGCTTAAATTACAACATATATGGACAATGAAACGTCTAAATAAAACTGATAAAGATAACACTATTACTAATCAATTATTAGTTCCTCCATTGAATAAGATTAACATGAGAAGACAAGTGATTAAAAAATAAAACTGAGAAATAAACACATAACTTCAAAACAATGATTCGAAAAACTACTTATTTGAAATCCCGACCGTTGACGCGGTGGTCGGGCTTGCCTATCGTCATGAAGCAACCGAGTTATATTGGCTGGAACAACCGTTCCTCAAGGTCCTACCATGTCAGACAGGTCGGTTGAAGAGCGGTAAGACTAGAAGCAACAAACTCAAGGTCCGACGGCGAAGTCGTACTGCTGACTGTACAGAGGTGTGACAGCAGTAAGATGTTTTCTTCAGACAACCAGCATAACAGCGATGCTGCCTTCCCACAAGGAGGAGTGGGGTTAGAAAAGGCCGACCCTAAAAATGCACACCTCGCCTTATCCCACGGATATCCATCTCCAGAGGTAAGGTCTCAACAAGTACGGAGCTAACACAAAAACTACCCATAAAAAAGTCGTGTGTGACCAACCTCAAGCAGTTGTCCCTTGGGCACTGCGGTCATGCTCCCAGGTCACTAAGACCACCTCTAATCCAATTTCCTTTTCAGGTACCTCCGGAACAACCCTTCCACAGTGTGGGCAACCGGGAAGTGATAACCGCCCTCATAACTCTAACAGCACTCAAGACCACTGTATTCCTAATCAACCTCCGTCTTCACTTCCCATTACTCCTCCTACATCGACTTTCACCTCTAAACTTCCTTTTTCGGCTTTCTCCTCAAATGGTGCACATGGGCACCAGTATCCTGCGGGAACAAATGGCGTATGAACCAATCGTTGGTCACCGGCTACCATGGGATTGCATCTCCTTACGATGCTCCACTGCCTTGTGGGTTAGACCTTTAGGTCAAAGGCTCGGGGAGTGGCCCCCTAAGATAACCACCTGCTTCGGTTTGGGCACCCGGGCAGTATCACAGCCCACACGCAAATGATGAACTCTCTATATCTATGGAAACTACTTTTCTCGCTTCGAAAAACAATCAATTAGTTCAAATTATTATCATTACTATTATTGTCATTATTATTATTATTATTATTATTATTACTATCACTATTACTATTATTATTATTATTCTTTACCACATTATTCACCCTCTTTTATACTTATACAGCGGCTCGTCTTTGGTGGAAATTCGACTGTATCTAAACGTTCTCGAGTCACTGTCCGGTTGAAAATTGTATGTTACCACCGAATACGAGTACTGAAGCAGTTTTTCTGAAACCACGTGCACCATTCAAACTGGCTGCCTTCAACGTTCGCACATTTATGCAGGTCGGACAACAGATAGGGCTGGCTATGTCTTTGGAAAGTCTTAATATCGATGTTGTTGTCTATCCGAGACCCGTATTCAAGACTCTGGCGAAGTACTACAAATTCGATCTCCATCTGTCGCTTCGAAAAGCTTGTTTTACGTGCGCTTATCCGGGGACCCTGTGGCATCTTCGTCTGGTCTTGCTGGCGTTGGTGTCGCACTAAGCGCTAGAGCTGAGGCAGCACTAGTCGATTGGATCCCCATTAACAGTCGGTTATGTGCTGTTAGATTAGAAAGTTCCATCAAAGTGAGAAGAAATCGGCGTGAGAAACGATGTCTTTTCGTCATCTCCGCCTATGCCCCGACAGATTGCAGCCCGGATGCAATCAAGGATGAGTTTTACCACCAGTTATCTGTTCTTCTCCAGAAAGTGCGTTCGACAGATATTGTAGTACTAGCCGGAGACTTGAATGCTCAGGTCGGGCGTCTAGGCACAGAAGAGAGTCGTTTAGGTGGCCGATGGGGACTCGTTGGTCGCAGGTCAGATAACGGGGACCGTCTACTGCAACTTTGCACAGACCACAACCTGTTTCTGGCTAGCACTAACTTTCGGCACAGTCATCGCCGATGTGCCACCTGGCGTCCTCCCTCTGCATCTCAAGCCTGGACTCAGATTGATCACATCGCGATCAGCTACCGCTGGCGTGGTTGTGTACAAGACTGCCGCTCCTTTTGGAGTACCTATCTGGACTCTGACCATGCCTTGGTCTGCGCCAATCTTGCCTTACTTTTCAGTGGACAACGAAGTGACCGCCATCAACGGATTGATGTTAGCAAGCTGGTTGCAACTTCTGTTGCAAGTAAGTATCGAACCGAGCTAGCCTCTAGGCTAGCTACCACTCCACCGAAAAGTATAGATGAGCATTGGTTGCAATTGCATGACGCCATGAAAATGGCGGGAACAGTCAGTTGTGGGTTTGCGAAACGTCCCGCTTTTAAGCACTGGGTTTCTTCTGGTTCCTTACAACTCATTGAAGCCCGTCGGTCTACTCCGGGTGACCGTGAGTTTGACCATAAACGAAGGATGTTACGTAAGGAAATTGGGCAAAGCTTGCGTAAGGACCGAGAAGCCTGGTGGTCGATGCGTGCTAATGAGCTGGAAGCAGCAGCTGCATCTGGTAACTACCGGAAGCTCTTCCAGCTCATCCGAGCCACTGGCAGCAAGAAGTCTGGTGTGAGTGAAACAATCTGCGAGGATGATGGGATGCCAATCACTAACATCCATCGACGTCTTGGACGATGGGCAGAATTTTTCGAAGGGCAGTTCAACTGGCCTGCTGCTCCGGCAACATCGGTCAGACTGTCCTGCCCTCCATGGCCGGTGACGACTGATCCACCAAATGAGGAGGAAGTCCGCAAGGAACTCCAACTCTTGAAGCGTTACAAATCACCTGGCCCAGATGACTTACCTCCGGCTCTTTTTAAAGATGGTGGTGACTTTTTGACTAAGGAATTGACGACGTTGTTTACAAAGGTTTGGGAACTAGAGTGTACCAACGTCATGGAATGAGTCGATAGTTGTCCCTATCTTTAAAAAGGGTTCACGTCGTTCCTGTAACAACTATCGGGGGATAAGTCTACTTCCGATTGCGTCCAAGCTATTGGCTTCCGTCATACTTCGTAGGTTGTTCAAAACCCGAGAAAGATTGACTCGCGAGGAGCAGGCTGGGTTTCGTTCTGGTCGAGGATGTATTGATCATATCTTCACCCTCCGCCAAATGTTAGAACACCGCCATACTTATCAAAGGCCAACAATCGTAGTGTTTCTTGACATCAGGGCTGCCTTCGATTCGTTGGACAGGACTGTTCTCTGGGATTGTCTATTGAAGAAGGGTGTGCCTGAGAAGTTTATTAACATCCTAAAAGCCCTATATAAAAACACCTCAGGCAGAGTGAGGGCATACAACCACCTCTCTCCATTGTTCCATTCGAGCAGTGGGGTTAGGCAGGGTTGCCCAATCTCACCATTCCTCTTCAACTTTGCCATCGATGACATTCTGGAAACAGCTCTGATGAATGTAAGTAATGGTGGTGTGGATCTGTTGCCTGGAGAAAGACTTCTCGACCTTGAGTATGCGGACGATATTGTCTTACTGTGCGATAATGCCCAAGGCATGCAATCCGCAATACGAATGTCGTCCCAGAGAATTCCACGTCGTGCATTATTTGCCGACTCTGGGACTGGTTGGAAGAAGCGGAGAGGTGGTCAGTGCATGACATGGTGTCGTGGTATGAAAGAAAGCTGCAAAGGACTGGCTTCTGTTGGTCCTTCACGACTCCCTGGTTGGGGTCTGAGAGATGGTGCTACACAGTGGCTAGAGACGTTATCAGATATGGCTCAGAATAGAACCCAGTGGCGATCCTGCTGTAACCTTCTTTTACTTTCTTCATAAAAAGTGGTTGTGTCTCCCTTACCTGAAAGAATTCTTCTGATTGTACCTTTCCGTTCCCTCGTTACTACTACACTACCTTACACCAATCTCTTCGTTATTGTTCTCTTTTTCTTTTGCGCTCCTTTTTTTTTCTATTTCTCTTCGAATTCTCATTGTTTTGTGTGGCGCATATATATTGGCGCTTTCTTGTTCCAATATTTATGTGTTTAAATAAATAAATAAATCCTCTTCAAATGTCACCATAGCCAACGATTCTAGTGCTCAAAACACTGTCCCAGGTCTACTGAAACCTCACTTCAAACTACACATTGGAGCCTTCAACGTACGCACCCTATGTCAAATCGGTCAACAGGCTTCCCTGGCTAGAACCCTAGAATCTCGTACCATTGATGTGTGCTGTCTCTGAAAGACGCATACAGGATCCTAGTGTGGTCATTCACTTGACATCACCTCGGCAAAACGGAGAGCCAACGAGATACACCCTCCATGTATCTGGTGACCCGACGGCCAGTTCTCGTGGACTGGCAGGAGTAGGCATAGCACTAAGCATGAGGGCGGAACAAGCACTGTTAGAGTGGATCCCCGTTAACAGTCGTTTATGTGCTGTTCGGCTAAACGGCTCCGTAAGAACTCGGAAAGATAGGGACACAGGTCGTTGCCTTTTCGTCGTTTCTGCCTACGCTCCCACCGACTGCAGCTCAGATGAAGTGAAAGATGAATTTTACAGAAAGCTATCTGAACATCTTCAGAAAGCTAAACGCTCAGACATAGTACTCGTAGGGGTGACTTTAATGCCCAGATAGGTAGTTTAAACCAAACAGAAAGGTAACCTTGAAGTAACCAATAACGACGACAGTTTCTCAACAGCTATCACTCGATCAGTAGTGTTCGGGTAGACAGACTGTAAAAGGTTCATGTACTTCTTTGGGATACCTCTCAATGACAGACAATGTCACAGAACTTCACAGTTAACGGAGTCGAACGCCACCTTAAGGTCAAGGAGTACAACTATAGCACCATTCGTCAGGTTCTAGAACACAGGCATGCTTATCGACGTCCGACAATGATAGTTTTTCTTGACTTAAAATCAGCATTTGACTCTGTAGACCGCGAGATTCTGTGGCAGTGTCTGTCATTGAAAGGTGTACCTCAGAAGTACATAAACCTTGTGAAGGCCGTTTACTCGAACACCACCAGTAGAGTCAGAGCTTATGGCGAACTGTCATCTGCTTTTGCAACCTCAAGTGCTGTCCACTTTCTCCATTTCTGTTTAACTTCATCATAGACCTGCTTATGGAAATAACATTCTCGTCGACTGAATTCTCGGGTATTGATCTCCTTCAAGGAGGTCCACTTATCGACTTAGAATACGCAGATGAAGTAGTCCTGTTTGGTGAAGACGCTGATAAAATGCGGAGTCTTCTGGTAGCACTAAGCAACAATGCCAGAATGTTTGGAATGCGCTTCTCTCCCACTAAATGCAAGCTGCTGCTTCAGGACTGGTCTGCGTCAACACCTGAACTAAGGATAGGGAGTGAAGTAGTCAAACGCGTTGACAACTTCACTTATCTTGGAAGTCGGATCAGTCAGTCAGTAACAACGTAGAACTTCGTACTCATGTACATCAGTTCGAGTTGCCACACCACATTAGCATAGAGATGCAGTGGTCGATTGAATTCCCGTAGTAGTAGAGTAATAAGAGTATAAGCAGTAATCGGGAAAATTAGTGTTTGGAGATGTTATTTAACGAGTATAATATAGTGAAATAAATTTGGGAAGAGAAAAAAAGAGACAAGGAGGAATAAGAAGATCAAAATTTGGGAGAACACAAACAGTGGATGCACCTGCGCCATTGCAAACGATTTTGAGCCATGTCATTCAGGGTCTCTAACCATCGGTTGCTATCATCTTGCGGTCCCCAACCAGGTAGTCTACACCTACCAACATGACTCAGTCTACTTGTCAGTGACTTCATGGACTTGTGCCATGTTTTGGTCTGGCCGCCCCGAGCTTTCTTCCAACCTACTCCTATACCACTGAACATCGCACGTCGAGGCAGTCGGTCGTTGGGCATACGTAACACGTGTCCAAGCCATCTCAACTGATGAAGTTTCACTACTTCATCAATTGATTTGCCATCCTTACCTAGTACCCGTTTCCTAACAACTGCATTACTTACTCGATGGTCCCACGATATACGAGCAATATTTCGAAGACACCTATGATCAAATACTAGTAACCTACGAATATCCTCTACTCTTACCGGCCATGTTTCACTGCCATAAAGTAGGACGGAACGAACTGCTGCGCAGTAAACACGTCCTTTGGTTGGTAGACAGATATCTCGCCTACGCCATAAATGACGCAAGTTAGCAAAAGCTAGTCGAGTCTTCTGTATCCGTGCTGAGATTTCGTCACACACTAAACCACAAGGGCTGATGAGACTTCCAAGATAAGTGAAGCGGTCGACACACTCAACTACCTCACTCCCTATCATTAGTTCGGGTGTCGATGCAACCCAATCCTGAAGCAACAGTTTGCATTTCGAGGGGAGAATCGCATCCCGAACATGCTTGCATTGTTGTTTAGAGTGGTCAGAAGACTCTGCATTTTGTTAGCGTCTTCACCAAATAAAACTATGTCATCAGCATATTCCAAGTCAACAAGTGAACCTCCCGGTAGAAGTTCAACCCCTGGGAATTTAGATGAGGAGAGTGTTATTTCTAAAAGCATGTCAACGACAAAGTTAAACAAGAAGGGAGAGAGTGGACAACCCTGACGAACACCACTTGAGGTAATCAATTCTGATGACAGTTCGCCATAAGCTCTCACTCTACCAGTTGTGTTCGAATAGAGAGCCTTTACAAGGTTAATGTACTTCTTTGGTACTCATTTCAGTGGCAAACACTGCCACAGAACCTCACAATCAACAGAGGCAAATGCCGGCTTAAGGTCGAGAAATACTACCATTGTGGGGCGTCTGAACGTTTGTCTGTGTTCTAGGACCTGACGTAGTGTGAATATGTGGTCTATACAACCACGTCCGGGTCGAAAACCAGCCTGATTTTCTCTAGTCTGCTCTTCACGAGCTTTAGTTAGGCGTCGAAGTATTATTGAAGCTAATATTTTAGACACTATATTAGTCAAACTGATTCCTCTGTGATTGTCACAGGAGGACTTTTGTCCTTTCTAATAAACTGGCACAATCAGTCGGATCAACCCTAATAGGTTGGTGTCTGACGAAGCCTCTGCACGGATTCAGAAAGCTCGTTCGGCTTTTGCCAACTTGCGTCACCTATGGCGGAGGCGAGATATCCGTCTATCAATAAAAGGACGAGTATACTGCGCGGCAGTCCGTTCTGTTTTAATTTACGGCAGCGAAACATGGCCATTAAGAGTAGAAGACACTCGTAAGCTACTAGTATTTGACCACAGATGCCTTGGAAATATTGCTGGCGTCTGCTACGATAACCGAGTAAGTAATAGTGAGGTTAGACGCAGGGTATTAGGTAACGATGGTAAATCAGTTGATGAGGTTGTGAATATTCATCGATTGAGATGGTTGGGCCACATGTTACGTATGCCCGAACACCGATTACCACAACGTGCAATGCTAACCGGTGTTGGAGATGGTTGGAAGAAAGTTAGGGGAGGCCAAACCAAAACGTGGCATCAGTGCTTGAATTCACTAACTTCTAGTCTGAGCCATGTTGGTAGATGCAGACTACTTGGTTGGGGTCCGCGTGACTGTCGTAACCAATGGTTGGAGACTCTTGGTGACATGGCTCAGAATCGATCACAATGGCGTCGAAGTATACACTCTCTGTTTTCCTTTAAACTAAGAGATTAAAATCGCTTCATATCTTTCTTTCTACGAACTAATTCTTTTTTCCTGTACTATATCCTTATTGCAATCTCTCTTTTATATATTACCACCTCTGAATTAGCTATTTTAATGAATCCGGTGTCCATCTTGTTGTGTTAATGAGGTATGGCAACTTGGATCGCTGCATATATGTGCCTAGTCCTACGTTGTAGCTGACTGACTGACTGACTTATTTGAAATGTGTCTTAAATTTTGATTTTAATTCGTTTTCTTTATTAAAGAATGTACACTAGACTAGTCATATTGGAGATTATCATACACTGATTAGAAATAGTTCTCAAGGTTACTCATACTAGTTAGAGTAAACCAGGTCTTAGAAGGGATAAGTCAACGGTTACACCATAGAACACGATTAAATTTGGTAGTGGTCAGTATCTACTAAGATAATAAGAGTTTTGTGGACAGAGAGGTTAGTATAAAATAGATAAACAAAAGGTTTAAAATAAGAATTAAGTGAACATCAACGCGAAATACTTAAACGTGTTCTGTACTATATCCTTACATAAAATCCTTCTTTTATATATTAAACCATTGAGTCAACTGCTTCTATGAATCCGGTGTTCGTCTTGCTGATGAGGTGTGGCAACTTGGACTGATGCATATATGTGTCTGGTCTGACTTCAAAAGTGTTGGGGTGATCCAGGAAACTTCCGCAAAAGACAGGAAAGGATCAGGGAAACACTATAAAGCATTTTATCTAATCAGCAATCACTTGAAGTTTAGCAAGAAACATCAAGAAAGTGGTAAGTCACATGAAGGGTTTCTGATTGCCTGATTACTATACTGCTGCTATGTTTAGTAGCATTCCAGAATTTTCGGGAAACCCAGGGACATCTAAAATACTATAAAAACCCTGTAGTTTCTGTACAAAAATGAACCTTTGGAATAAAGTGCTCGCATATCTTGCTCCTTTTCTCTCATGTTCAGGTCGCTGTGTAGTTCTAGCTTGGGGGTTACGAGAATAGCTTACGAACCGAATATAGCGTTCAAGTAGCAAGACTTATCAAAAAAATATATTATTACACAGTTTTATACTATTTTAGAATACGATGGAAAGGTATAATAGTCACCGAAAGAGATAAAACAAAACAAAAAAGACATAACTTACTCTGACGCATTTTTGCAGTACTACATTGATGCATATATTTAACAAGCATGTCCATCAATAAACTAGGAGGATAAACTTGACGTATAAGATGTATTGAATCAGATGCAGCACGATAAATAACTGAATCTTTATGTACAGTTAATGATTGAAGTTGACAATTTAATAATGGGATAAGAATAATATTTACTTCTTGTTCACTTAACCTCAAATCATTTTGAGCAAATAACGAAATTACAGCAGTTAAATACTCGAAGGCTACATGATACATACAAAGAAAATTCATGATGATGAGTATTCTTTAGAATATGCTAGTCAGTAAATAAATTTTAAAATCACACTATCTGTAATATTACGAATATGTAAAAGAATACATTTTTGTAACGCTTTAATCTAAAATGATTACGCGGTGAATGAATGTCTTGACATTTTAATTCACAAATTATGTCTGCTAGCCGCGAGTGCTTACGTAGTTTCACAATGGTATTTCTTATATTTTACCCCACAGTCCCATTGAGAAACGAGAAACGATTAATTTAGAATTCATACGTTAAATATCTTAGGCGATAATATAATTGGAACAAGACTGATTGTAAGAATTTACGAATGAATATGAGTGGATTTTGATCAATACCTAAAAGAATTCCTATGCATATTTCTTGAACATTTACAAGTCGAATGCTTATAAAACGGGAATTCGGTAGCAATACTGAATATTTTCGTGCTCAGCATTCCTTACTGTATTCAAACATATGGTATTGAAAAAAGAAAGTACTATTATTATTATTATTATTATTATTATTATTATTATTATTATCATGAAAGTTCACGGATTACTTTTAAAATTATTTATCGAGAAAATGATAACAGTCCAAACCACTATGATTGATACGAATCCGATACTTATTAGTAAGAATCCAAAAAGAATTAATTCTCAAAATTATAATGACAAACTGTAATCTTTAGAATGAGTCAATCAAATAGGGAAAGAGCATAGATTCTCATGGATGACATCCTTCTGTAAAGCGAAACACTTCAAGTTAGAAAAGTCATAATAAAGGTCTAATGAATTAGCTTAGTTTTTCGATGTTTGCCTTGAAAGCACAAGATTAAGATATTAGTTGACAATATATTAAGTGCGTACACCATGTAACAAATTCCAAATTGTGATTTTGTTGCTACGGCTTTCGAGAAACACGATGGGACCTACAGAGGCCCTAAAGGAGCCGAAGCGTTTCCACTTAATCAGAACCTGACGGGGCTTTCTAGAATATTGACGTGGCACGCTATGATTGAACGGTAGCATAGCTTGCCTCCTTGTGGATTGGTTGAACCATAATGATGCTATAACCAACGCTAATAACTATAAATACACATGTTTTTCTGTACATTTTTGATTCTTACCCAACAATCACTTCTCCTGTTTTCTTCTGTCTTCTGATTTGTGACTGTGGGGTTCTACACTTTCAAGTGCCGCTAGTTATATATCACATTCTGCGTTAATCAAGTAGAGTACGTAATAGATCTGATAACTATTTAGTTTTAAATGGTTCACGGAGTGGTTGATTATACTTTCCGGTGGCAAAGATCCTCCTTAGCATATAATTAAAGTAGATCACATAAGACGGGAAATTCTTCGAAGAATAGTTAAAAATATCAACAAATAAGCGTAAACATTCAATGTTATAAACCATTTAAGTAAATATCTAGCGAAGAGAGAGCAGAAATATCCATAGTATGAAAATCAAATATATAAAACTGACTCACCACGAGCTAAAACAGCTTTACAATTATGATATTCAGATTGTTCAAAATCACCTTTCAACCAATATCCAAAACAATATTCTTCAATCCACATTAAAATTAAATCAAAATGAGCATATGTGATGATTAAAGGTGATGGTATTGCACTGGTATCTTTTCTATGTAATGAAGAAATCATTCTATCAAGTGCTTCCAGACGACCTTCATATGACGTGGAGAATAACTGTTTTTTTATATTAGGATGAATATGTGATTCATCAAATAGATATTGCAACTTATCTTTATTGATATCTTGGTGCTAACGAGACCAACAAAAATAAATTTTTACAAGATGAAAATATATTCATAATGGCTACAAAATATTCAGTCCAATATTTTTTTTGCTAAACTGAATTCAACAAATGCATTGAACTTAGATGGTAACCCAAGTCAGTGTAAACCATTTAGCGTCTACAGAATGTAGGCTGTCGAGCGATGGAAAAAGATAGGACACTATGATTGTTAACAAATAGTCATATTTTCTACACACATAACTAAAATATTCCCATAGTATGAAAGTCATAGGCGTATCGTAAAATTTTGAACCATGCAAATTTCAAAATAATTACACTACCATTTGTATTTTTATAATGCTCTTAATACCGTCCATAAATTACAGTTAATTAATTATATACTTGTCACTTAGTTTTGTACTACAAATGACCCAGTTATTGACAGATAATGATTTCCTATTAATGGTGCGTTTTAGTCTTGTAAATGATATATATTATCATGAATTTTTGAGTCATGGTAAAAGGAGTTAAATCAGCTTATGCTTTCTTGTGTCTTGATTGGGTAAACTAGAGGCACAAAGAAATTGTGTGGGTCAATTCATATCAACATACTAAGTGAGTATTAGTATTGTTGGCCAAAGCCGACTTATCACTAATGGATTCAATAAATTAGTGATCTTCTTAGGTTGAATTTACAACAAAATTGAACTATATTATCTGTACAAAAGCATCTAATCACTAAACGTAACGAATTTCCCTACTAACGAAAAACTCAGTAAATATACTAAACTGACCTTTTTCAAATTTTCCAAGCGTATTTCTTTAGTTTGTAACAAACCTGTTTCATCGTTAGACTCAACAAAGAAAATAGTATCAGAAATATCGGAATTAGTCATATAAGTTGTTTTACTGGCAATATTACAATGCACATTTTCTGATTGCATGGGCTGTCTTGTTACCGCTTCAATGAAACCTTTCCTGAATAAAGAAAATTAAAAAAAAATGGGACCACAAATGGTCACTTTCGATTGTGTCGGAGATTTTCTACACGTAATAATCTCTTCAGTAATCCCTAAAAACAAAGCACAGATTAACTTGAGAGTATCTACAAACAAATAGCGATACCATACATCATTGTCTGGAACGGCATGAATAAATGAAGATGCCTAATGCTTTAGTTAGCCGACCTTCAGTTAGTAACATCACAAATAACTAATGTACAGATGGGTTGTGTCATATATCATGATTTACAGCTTAGTTTAACGAATCTACACCTAGTTGGACTGTGACCAGCAGTGGGATTCATGACAAGCTTTTCGCCTTACTTGGGACTTATCAGATGGAAGAAACTTTATCTTTCTGTTGCTACTTACAATGAGATTTGAACCTAGTACCTAACCAATTGAAGTCGTTAATACCGATAGTGAGGAAATATAAACGCAGACAAGTGACTATACTCAGTTGTTAAGTTGAACATTATGTTATTTAAAGCCTACCTACTAGTGTCGTCTTACCCCCATGTTTTCAATCTTTAATGATTAAATAAATTATTGATTCAAGCAGTTGTCCATTTTTAATCTATTTTTTTCTGGTAAAACAACTGGAACCATGTTATGGTTATCAAAGGGTAGGCAATCTTGGTTAAATAGAGACAATGGGCAAAAAAACCTTGAGAAAAAATAAAAATTCGTTACGAGCTTTTCTTTATTAAATATGTACAAATGAATAAACAAACATGACATTAGCCACAACTCAGTGATCTATGAATCGTAAATATCTCAATCCTGAAAGAAAGCACTGGCGGAATAATTCAACATCTCCGATTTTGAAGCTGGGTAACCCGGTTTTGGATCCACCAAGGAGCATCGGTTCACTGAAGATGCCACGTACGCCTTACTAAAGGGTACCGAAAACGCAAACCTAGATTTAGGATCTCCTGCCAACTACATCCAACTACCTGATATCACAACATAGTGCACATGATATTGAGTTATTAAAACTACTGGAAGCACTACAACTTTATTGATTGTATTTGATTGCCACTAAGAAACTAGACAAAAATTGCACTAACCACCATTCAGTAGTTAATCAATTGTACATGTACAGCTACATGCTTGTTTTAGGCATTGCTTTTGGCAAGTGTTATTAGATAACATAATGTAATGAAGACTAAAAAGCCAAAAAAATAGTAAACACTTCTAGCTTAATTTAATTTGAATCTCCCTAATCAACAACAATAATCGATCATCAAGATGTTTTAATAACTGTGATAGTTGTATTTAGAAACAATAAAAGTCAGTAGTAAACATATGCTCAAAATGTAGATTATTACTTAACGGGTTCACCAAGTCTAATAACTACTTTTGATTTGAAAAACATTGTGTATTCATTTACAGTATTCTAATTACAATCTACCAGAATTAATAGCCACGATATTTTTATTAATCTGAAATTGCACATGCAACAAATATGTATACATACGATGTCACTATAAACGATGGTTGTATAAACAACCTACTTGTACGGTACTGAACTTCGTTCCGCAACTGGACTTCGTCTGAATCAGAAAATTCCAAAACACCTTCAGCATTAGTAAGTCTTTGTGATGGTGAAATTGATCCTATCAGAGCTGTCATTCTTCTTTCTCTAATCGACCATGCTTCAATAGCAGCTGGTGTTAAAGTTTGTAGTAATCCAGAGAATGTTGAATGATTGTTTTTAGTATCCGAAAGTGGAACAGAATACTTTTCATCAATATTTGCAAACTCTGCTTCCAAACGTTGTAATATTGTTGCCTTTTCAGAAGAGAAAAATGGACGAATATTGACAGTCGAATGTAAACAGGCATGAAGTGCACCAGCTAATTCAATTGCTGAACTACGCACAATAGGTGAAGAAGATCCAAGTCCAAATTTCACAATTTCTATAAGTGGTAGGTGATCAAAACTGAAAACAAATACGCAGCCATGATGTGATATTTAAATGTTATTGATTTACAGAAGAACTTTTGTGTTGAGAAATTAAACAGTTATCTCACCACTTCAGGTAGATAGGAAAAGTCATGCTCCTATTACACAATAAACAAATGAGTCATGTCATATAACCAAAATCTAATTATCACACATCCCATCTAAACAAAAGAGTCCTGATAATCAACCACTTGACTTGTTATAAAAATATCAGAACTAAGGAGAAAATGAAGCGCGAACAAGTTTATTCGTAACTCAAATTGTAAAGATTGCCAACGTATTTTAGAAATCTTAGCTAACTAAGGTGATCGTTGAAAAAAATTATGTTTACATGTTAGAAAGTGCTTACTCTTTTTCGACTTATGCAGTTATAATTTTTATATTTTTGAAGCGGTAAATAATACAATAAACAATGATGATAAACTAAATGGAAAATTTAAGCATCTGAAAAGATTTAGATATGATGAACCAAGATTAAAATACAACATATAAGACGATTATCAAATGATTTTGGTGCGATCTTAAACAGTTTTAAAAGATTATGAAGATAAAGGACTGTACGGAAAACTTACCTAGAAGAGGTGGAAAACCCTGATTCCAAAACAATGGTGCACATGAGCTCTAGGATAATGAGGGAACAAATGTTGTACGAACCTATTCTTGGTCACCGGCTACCATGGTACACCATATCCTAACGCTGCTCTCTACTGCCTCCTGGGTTAAACATCTAGGTCGAAGAATCGGAGAGTGGCCCCTCAGGGAAACCACCTGTTTAGGTTTGTGCACCCGGACAGCATCATAGCCCAAATAAAAATTGAATGATAACTACTTTGTGTGGTGCATATATATTTTGGTGCTCTTTTGTATTAATAATTTAGCGTTTAAATAAATAAATAATAATGACTGTAATATACGCGTCAGAAGAAAGTGTGTTGTCTCATTAAAACAGACATATAGTGACATGTGAAGCAGAACAACATGTATATCAACTACAAAACTAGTTATTTGTGAACAGCTAAGAAACTCTTAATCGTAAAAATATTCACTCACCTAGAATCTAACGACATTATGGACGAAGATAACCACTTTATGAGTGAAGAATGAATTGTAGGAGAAACTTTTTTCTTCAAACCTGCATTAATGCACTCAACAGTTTTTGTAAAGCCTATAACATTCATTAAATCTCGAAGAGTTTGTTCAACTAAAGGACCGGATTTAGAATCTCCAATGGTAGCAAATAACTGGTCACAAAGCGATATTATCAAAGTCGTAGTAATCCAATTTTGAGATTTATTTTGTGATAATAATTTCGACAAGATATTTAGGATTTCACAACGGACCTAAAATGTAAGATAAATGATGGTTGGGCTTATAGTTCGACGACAAAAGTACTCCAGTGTCTCCAGAAAAACTAATTATAGAAAAGAGCAGTAGTGATTCTTAATCGATCAGAAAAATTTTAATGACAGATGGTCAGTCATTTAGTCATAAGCAAAGAAGAAACTTGCCATTTCATATCAGCACACCAAGATGAAATTATCAACACAAATGCCAGAATGGTATAGGTAATAATAATATCAACCGTCGTGGAAAAGATTAGGCGAAGACAATATGATTCGAAAAAAATAAATTAGTTGAATATAAGTGCAGGATAATTTATAACTTAAGATCTAAGGGAAGACAAAGAGTGAATGTGACCGGTTCTGAACCAATAATAGTGAAAAAATTAAGTATATAGCTTAGGACTACACTAAACTAAGCTTTCTACACACGCCTAAAAACGACTTTGTTGATTACAATATCGTCCGGAAAAAATCATTAAATGCTCATCAAAATAACAGTTACGTTGATTCTGTTTAATGGCGTCCAAACTGTAACACGTACTAAATGCATCTGATGATAAACGTACGAGTATATTTCGTTCTTTTTGGTTACATAGATGAACAGTGATAATCCGACTAGTTTAATAGTCGATCTTTCATTCACAGAAGTATTCGAAACTGTCAACCGACCTAATTTTCCTGAAAATTCAAGATGTTTTATATGTAAAATGAAAAATCCTCAACTTTTAAATAGCTGTTTCCCTTATGGAAAATGAAATTTAAAAGTTTTTCACTGTAGTCATGGAAGTATATGGTTGACGCTAGGCATGAGTATTGTATTTGATACGTATCAACTTGAAAAAGATCCATAAACGAATTTTTCTGCTACTGCCACTGCTTAACCTTGTAATAGTCTCTGAGCGTGCATTATTACTTACTCCTGTTACTCCTCGTGGAGGAGCATAGGCCGCCCACTGACATTCTCCAAACAACTCTGTCCTGACCAATCCTTTCCAGTTGTTTCAAGTTGTCATTCATTATTTTGATGTCCGCCTCCACTTCCCGACCCGAAATGGTTTTTGATCTTTCACCTTCCTTTTCCCCTTCAAGTTAGCACTTGCCTTGTGATGCAGTTCGATAATTTCCTCAATGTATGTCCTCCAATCCACCTGAAGCGTCTTGTCCTAATTTCCTCTTTAGATGGAAACTGGTTTGTTCTCTTACACAGTTGGTTGTTGTTGATGGTATTCGGCTAATGGGTATTTAGTATCCTGCGTAGACAATTGTTTGTAAATACTTGTACATTGTTGATGATGGTTGTAATAGTTCTCGAAGTTTCAGCTCCGTGCAGTAGAACTATCTCGGTGTTCTGACTTTAGTGTTGACTGACATTTGTTTTGATTTCCAGATGTATTTTAATTGTAGGAATGCTACCCTTGCTTTACCGATTCTTGTCTTTACGTCTGCATGAGCTTCTCCCTGTTTTTCGATGATGCTGCCCAGGTACATGAAAGTTTGGACCTCTCTATCAAGTGTGATTTGGTCTGCCTGAAGTCTTTTGGGGGTTACTGCCAGCCGTAAGCCCACATAAAAGAAGAGGGTTGGGTATGGGGTTAACAACCTATCTCGTGGAACAGGACTTTGCAAAACAGACGCTAACCTGGTGCAATATACAATCACATAATTCAGTGTTCCAATCATGATTATTCAGTAATTTTATCAATAAGATGAAGTTATCAGATAACTTACACGAAAATTATTATCTTTCACTGTCCCACAATGTAGAATATACTGAAGTAAGTAATGAATATCAGGATATTCTGGAGGATTGGAGTTAATAATAGCATTGATACGTTCAGCAATTTGTAGACGAATCTTCCAAGAAGCATCATTTAATTGTCCCAGTGGTACATTTACGAAATATGTTCTAGAAACAAAATGAGAAGAGATTTTACAATCACTTAGTGGGAAATAGCTCAATTATGAAAAATACCCGGATATTAAAATGGTGGAAATTTTAATAACTTAAGAACATTTCTGAGCTTAAAGGCTTGATGATAAAGCTTTATTTGTCAATCCTGGATAACAGAATCAGCACACGTACTTTATCAATGACGTGAACTACAGGAAAATACTTTACAAGTATAAATCTAACAAATTATTTGAACGATCTGTATCTATCAATTCATTCAGATTAATTTTGGCACTCCTCTAATATAAGTAACTTACAAAAATGTAAAGTTAAGTAATTAACTTCATTTCCGAATTTCAACTAAGCAGAAACACTTTTTTGGAGAGACAATAATTTATGGACGAATTAATCAGGTTTAGGATAACAGGTCTTAGATTTTGGCGCGAAATTCATCTACCCATTTGGCCAAATAATCTTGGCATTTTAGCTGATGTCAGCTCGTGATGAAAAACCATAAAACGAATTCTTAACCCTAACCATCAACTGTTAATCATAATCCTTATACTTCAAATTTGCTTTGTAATCCTCATTTAGCTCTAGTAAGTCGGTAGACACTATTAAGGTCACTTTGGCATCGCTCAAAAGTTGTCCATAAATTATGGTCACATCACTTTTTCCTTATTATCATGATCGACTGGACAACTGTAAATAAGCTCATATCTTTTTACAGAACGACCAATAACTACACCAACTGGTAATTCCAAGAGTACAAATACATCGAACATTACATTCGGTTATATTATTTAGAAATGAGTATGTACTTCTGGGATTTGTCTTTAGAACTTTATCTCTTTATGCTAGCGTGATACAGAAACTTGAACCGATGCACATATGTCAGGTTCTAGTTCTACGTTGCGTATGACTGACTGATTAAGTTTTACTTCCGATTCATATCACCACTATTAACTTCACATTAAAACAATTTGATTCATCTGTTTTCTCTGCAGTATATTGTTTATTTTAGTTTAAAATAGTCTAAACTCCTAATTTGATTAATTACTTCAGAGTACATGACGATGCTTGTGAGTTATTCAATTTTTCTACCAATAACAAACCATACTGTTACTAAAGACTAATATGATATGAGCAAAACTTACTCGGAAAGCCTATTCCGTAAATGATCTGGAGACAAATTCAAATCTTGAGGCTGACAATTTTCAATTCTTGGCTTCATAACGTTTTTATTTCCTGCTTTCACTTTACCCTTCCCAGGAGGTTGTTTTAATCCTTCACGTTGTACTGAAGAAGGGATTTTCGACACACTCGATTTTAAAGCTGATATTTGAATATTTTGTTTAAAATTATGTAATGTGGACTTTTGATTCGTTGAAAATGGTGTACTGGATGACACATGACCTTGCATAGGATTTTTAAAAACTTCATGTAATGACTGTTTTCCAATTTTAACAGGTTTATTCGAAATACCAGGTGATGCTCTGATGGCTAAAAATTCAAAAACATTTATTGATGACAGACACTGTTTTTTTGTTGCCTACAAATGTCTAATTTATAATTTTCTAACGTTTACTGCTCATTTAGGACTCTATGTGCTATATTACCAAAGAGCACCAAAAAGTTTTCTGGAAGATTATAATGTGAGTTAAAAATTGTACGCAGCGCTCCAATAGAAGACAATTATATATGTAGTTTTACTTAGTTAAATCATAATCTCTACCAAATTAACATTTATTGAGCATTAGTAACTTGTGATCATTTCAATGTTTACTAGTTAATTTTCTCATTATTGTATAAAATAACAAATTGAGTGCATACATCGGAAATTTCTAACATATATTCCAAAGTAATTTTAAGTAACTTAAGAAAATTAAGAGAAATAACATGATTTTGCATCTAAAAAGCAATTGTCTTTGACGTCTAACACTCAGGTTTATTTTCAACGAGCAGAAAAATTTGAATTGCATCATGTTCTTGAAGTGGGTTGGTTAAAGTTGAACCGCTAAATTAATGATCAAACGTCAAATCTCTAAGCTTTACTGAAGAAAACTACAGACCTGTATAGTAGTGAAATGAATAGAAGATTCAAAGCAATCGATAAGTCTCTATATAAACATTTGCTTACGGGTAACAGGGAAGTCGAAATCGTCGACCAGTTGTTGTTGTTGGACACGTGAATCTTTAGATTTAGATTTTGTGATCACGTTTGCCGGATCAGAATTTGCATGGGATATATTGTTTTGTAATAAACCTTCATTTAACTGCAAGAAAGCAGCGTCGACCCTGAGGCGTCGAGGTTCGTCCAACATGTTATCAATAATGGCACTGAATTGCTCACTGGTAAAGTCTAAAAAATGCGATTTGCAGCAAACACCTGAAAACACGCATCACGGCATTCCGGAGCTTTGTGCTGAGAAAATTTAGCAACATTAGATAAAAGAGGTTTTGAAATTTTTAAGCGTTGTGAAAGTTGAAGTTCTCGCCTTAAATTACTTTTACAAAATATGTGAGCAAGCAAACGCAAGGCTTCAGCCTGTGTTTTTGCCACGGGAGTACTCAATGCAGTCTGAAGATGCACTAAAGCCAGATCAAAAGACATCTACAAGATAAACAAAAATATTGATGTGTACTGTATACCAAAGCACAGTTCAACATACAATCCCTTGAAAAATGTCTTACAGATACTATTATGAGAAAAATAAGACCGAAACGAACTTTAGAAATGAATAAAGTGATAGAACATAAATCAGTAGAGACAGAAAACTAAAATAATGCACACTTTTATCCACATGTTTGCATAATGACTGTCATCAGAGACATTTTAGTATAATTTTTATGGTTACAATATAGAAAAACAAGTGCACTATACACTGCATATATGTCATCGTCGGATAATCTAGAGTAGCCATCGAACTCCAATGAAACATTGATCCGATTTAATTTTGAATATATTTCCTTAGATTTTTCACGCTGAACAACACGATTTGAAGTTAAATATATCAGCTACGCATACCAGCAGGCAAACTATGATGAAAAAAGGTGAACAAATGAATGCAGTACGAATGTTGCCTTGTAGCTAAACTACTGATTGAATTTGTGATTCAGTTTACATACGCTTAAATTTAGTGCAACAAATAGATATGCAAACACAGATGTATGTAAACGTATATTAGAATAAGTATAATGTGGTCAACAAGGGGACACATATATAAAGGTTTATAAAATGAATAAGAAGATTGGCATTGTTCATCAGTCATACAATGTCTGGTCTTACATTTACTTAGAATAGGATAGATTTACATAGGAGTGAAATAAGAACTGCTACAAACCTATAAACAATACAGTGATTTAATTCACTACACTGGAATAATTATAATAGCAGTAATTAGCTGAACAAGGATCTCTTCAGCAAATAAGACGGATGACTACCAATGAAAGCTAGGGACTGGTACGTAATGATAACTAATGAGGACAGTGGTCTGATGTGTTTTAGTATATTCGAGAATCAGTAGCCGAAATTCAGAGGTTTCGCAAAAAATACACCCACTAAAATCACATACTGAACAACCACAAAGAGTTAACAGCTAAAGAAATGTAAGAATTGAGTGTATAGTTCTAAGAATAGTCGGTTGATTGGAAGATTGCTTTGAAATGACTGTCAGACAATTCATGAATCTTAGAAACTTCACACCCTGATATAGCTTATAATTTGAGTTTAAGTTAACTCATTAAGCCATGAACAATAAATACTTTGGAAATCTAAGTCATAATAATACACAAGCAGTATCACTGGGTTTGAACTCATGGTTTTATGGTTGATAACTATTTTAAATACTTGGAATGTTGGTAAAATATTTGTTGAGTAAAAGTGTAAACTGACAACTGAAAGTCAATAGAATTAATAGATACTGAAGGAAATAACCGGAAATGTCTTAATTATGGACGAGAGGGATTTATTCCAAGCATAATCTTGCACATAAAATTGAATGTTTGATAACTGTTGTCTATTACTTACGTCATGAAGCGGAGATAAGTACACAAATATACACGGCATGTTACTATTTTAGACAAACAGTTCCTTTTTAACATAACTAGTACACACTAATGTTGAATAAATAAGTTACGTCAATTAAAAGCATGAATAGAATTAAATGAGCTTTCTTTAAAATATATAGTGGGAACTAACTGTATCCACAATGGCAGTTGTGGCCGAACGTAAAGCTAGAGACAAGTTAGCTTTAGTGTCCTTAAATTTTAATAAACAAGTAGTTAAAGCACGTTCTGAATGAACGGTAAAGCCATTATTCATTGATTGAGCTAATTCAGATAAGACACCAGCTGCACGAATTACCAACATTGAATGTTTATCAGATGTAATTACCTAGAGAGATAAGAGAGAGGGGAAATACAATAAAAACACTCGGGCATCAAGAAACAGATATCCAAGTAAATTATAGTACACTACAAATAAACTAGTATTCTTAATTCTAATTACACATACAAAAAAAACAGACTAATACGCTGGCGGCAAATTAAATTTGTTAATCAGAAGATAACGATTAGAAATAGCTTATCGAACCGTAAGGTTAGGTTTAAACGTGTGATGTTAGGGTCAAGTGCCCAACCTAATAAACCGTGATTGAGTTCATGATGTTAAAAAATAAGTTAAACAAAAAAAAACGTTAGATCGCGAAAGATAAGTAGCTCATAAAAACCATGTATACACAGAAGGCAGTATTTTGTGTATCCTTTATTTACATATACAGAAAGCACTATTGACTGACCTCCAAGCTGCCCTGCAGAAACTAGTATTTTGTCATATGATTTGACTCCTTTGGTCTCCAAATAATGTGACGTCAGGTGTACCCATAATGTGGTTTTCTCAACTGCTTAACGATTATAATAATTGTTTAGAACATATGCAAAATTAAAAGTTCCTGGTTAATTTGTTCGTTTAATGTAAGCTTCTTAAGAAAGTCAAAAGCCGTGTCCGGAACATAAAAGTATATAAACTAGTTACATATCATCTAGATAACTACAGATTTCAGATATGATAATGAATCTGTAGATACAAAGCTTACAGTGATACTATAGTATGATGAAGACATTCGGACACTCAACATATTCTGTAATAGTTAATAATAGTGAGTCAAAAGTTGTCCGCTTAAATCTAAGGCAATAATTGAATATTTAATTTAACACCATTATTACGCTTAACGTCACCCATTTTAGGATAAAACCAATACGAAATTAATTCAAACTAGCTTAATGATAGTTATACAATAGTTAATGAGATACGAAAAATTCTTACTTGACATAATGCTTTAGTTACAAGCCCACAGATCGCATCGGATAAGGTAGAACATTTTAACTGGTTACTGATTACTTCCAAAACTTCTTTTCGCTCTTGCCAATTGCTTGACTCCTATAAATTTAAAGTGGTGTTAAATAATTGATGAAAGGTTTTCACAATCTTTAAAAGAGAGCTTTTTGCAATAGATGTCCGAAAGTACTATTTCAAATTATAAAACGTCTTTGTAACTCAAAATCCTGCATTTATGGATATTTATACGTAAGCTGTAAGAAATCGTAGATATACGGTTTGATTGGTAGTATACATTACTACAGAGTAATACTAGTTTCAGTAAACTAATATCTCAGAGATTGTAACTCTAGATAATAAGTGACAACCACTGATAATATCACCGTATGACCACAAGACTACATCAACTATACTGAGTCGGTGGGTGGTAACGAATAATACGAGGTTTACTCCTTAGTGACGTTCGAACCTCAACAATCAAGTTTCAATGTGATCATTAATGGTATTTACAAAGGCTTTTGTACACACATACATTTACTTATTTGAACACAAACATTGGTACTAGGGGGTACCAAATACGTATGTGCCACACAATAAAAATGAGGTTGTGAAGATAGAGAATGTAAAGTGCGCACAATAAAAGGAAGAACGACAACGATATTAATAATAATAATAATAATAATAATAATAATAATAATAATAATAATAATAATAATAATAATAATAATATAATAATAATAATGTTATAATAATCATAATAATAATAATAATAATGGAGGCAGTTCAGTCGGTAAAAATGCAACCGGACAGGACTCTTTCAGTTAAAGTAGTTACATTCAATCAGGATCGCCATTGACTTATCTTCTGAGCCATTTCCGACAACGTCAAAAGCCACTGCGTTGCACCATTTTTAGGACTCTAACAAGGGAGTCGTGAAAGACCAACAGAAGCCAGTCCTGTACAGCTTTCTTTCATACCACGACACCATATCATACACTAACCATCTATCCGCTTTTCCAACCAGTCCCAGAGTCGGCAAATAATCCACGACGTGGAATTCTCTGGGACGACATTTGTAGAACATGTCCAAGCCATCGAAGTCGGTGTTTTAAGATGGTGACACCAATCGCATTATCATCTCTGTGCCCGAACACACAATGCCGAACCTTTGCATTACTGACATGGTGTTGTCACTGGATGTCAGCAATCCTTCGGAGACAACAATGATTGAACATAGAGAGTCGTCTAACATCCTCAACTGGGAGAGGCCAGGTTTCACAAGCATAGAACAAAACTGTTCTCACGGACACGTTGTAGATCCGAGCTTTTACAGACAGACTAACATCACGAAGGCGCTAAAGATGGCCCAGATTGGCATAAGCCGCTCTGGCTTTCACTATACGTGAATCGATCTCATCACTCACGCCACCACTAGCACTTATGCAACTAACCAGATGCAAAAACTTCTCGACTACTATCCGCCCACTACCCAGGGTGAGTACAGGGTTAGAATCCTGCCAGCCTTTTAAAAGTACTTTGCACTTCGAAGGTGCGAAGCACATACCAAACCTACGGACATTAATTACCAACTGATTAAGTGAGGATTGCATGGATTGGGTATCATCGCACAGTAAGACAATATCATCTGCATACTCAGGGTCGAGAAGTCTTTCTCCAGGTAACAGACCCACATCACCATTACCTACATCCATCAGAGCTGTTTCCAGAATGTCATCGATAGCAAAGTTGAGGAGGAATGGTGAGATTGGGCAACCCTGTCTAACCCCATTGCTCAAATGGAACAGTGGAGACAGGTGGTTGTATGCCCCTAACTCTGCCTGAGGTATTAGTATATAGGGTTTTCAAGATAGATGTTAATAAACCTCAAGCACACTCTTGTTCAATCGACAATTCAAGAAAACAGCTCCGTCCAACGAATCGAAGGTGGCCCTAATTTCAAGAAACACTACGATTGTTGACCTGTATTAAGTATGACGGTGTTCTAACATTTGACACAGGGTGAAGATATGATTAATACATCCTCAACCAGAACGAAAACCAGCCTGCTCCATACAAGTCAATCTTCCTCAGGTTTTGAACAACCTACGAAGTATGACGGAAGCCGATAGCTTGGACGCAATCGGAAGTAGACTTATCCCCCGACCGTTGTTGCAGAAACGATGTGAACCTATTTTAAGGACAGGAATAACTACCGACTCATTCCGTGATGTTGAAACACTCTAATTGCCAGACCTTTGTAAACAACTCAGTTCCTTAACCCGAAAGTCACCACTATTATCAGAAAGGACTGGAGTTAGTCATCAGGGGCCCGGTGATTTGTAGCTCTTCAAGGGTTGGAATTCCTTGTGAACATCCGCTTTGTTAGGTGGATCGGTCGTCACAGGCCATGGAGAACAGGACAGTCTGATCGATGTCGCCGAAGCAGCAAACCAGTTAAACTGTCCCTCGAAAAACTATCCACCGTCCAAGACGTTGGTAGATGTTATTGATTGGCATCCCGTCATTTTCACAAACTGTTGCTTTTGTAAATGCTGCAAGTTTTAGGTGAATTTCTGAATATCACACTAGCTAGTATTGTGAACAGGATCTAGATGCAAAGAAATGACACTAAACAAGTTGAGAGAGAAATTAGATGAGGTTTAGCACAAATTACAGTGTATAGACTTTTAAACTACGTTAACCCTTGATCAGATAGAGTATGCATTCAAGTTTCTTCATATGATTAGTGAACAGAGACAACACACCAACAAATAAATATATCAAAACCAATTAAACTGAAGGTATATAATTCGATCAGTCAGCTATACACAACGTAGAACATGACATGTGAATCGGTTAAAGTTTCCATACCACATTAGCACAACGAGATAAAGTTATCAAGGTAAATCTCAGAGTGGTAGAAGTAAAAACCGCAGAAAAGATTAGGTATAGAAAAAGAAACAAAGGTACGAAATTTCGAAATTGAAATTCTAAGAGAAGACAAGAAGTGAATGAACCTGTACTATTGTTAATGATTATGAGACATGTCATCAAAAGTCTCGGACTATTGGTTACGATAATCACGCGAACTCCAACCAAGTAGTTCACAGTGAGAGTATACTTTTAACTTACTCTTACATCTTACAGTATCGCCCGTTGAGGTAGGCGATAGTTGGGCCTACGTAACATAAGTCTCAACCACCTCAGTAGATGAAGATTTACTACCTCATCATTTGATTTCCCAAACTTACTTAGTACCCTATGCCTAAAATCGACATTGCTTACCCGGGTTATGTGGCCCCAAAATACGCGAGTAATAATTTGAAGATACCTATGACCAAATACTAGTAACCTACGAATATCTTCTATTCTTAACGGCCATATTTCACACCCATTAGGTAGAACGAAGTGAACCGCTGAGCAGGAAACTTGTTCTTTGGTAGGTAAACGGATATCTCGCCTATGCCATAAGTGACGTATGATACCAAGCGCTAATCGAGTTTTCTGAATCCGAGTCGAGATTTTCTCAGATACCTGCTTATCAGCACTGATGAAACTTTCAAGATAAGTGAGGCGGTCGAGCGCTAAACTACTTCACTCTCTATTATTGATTCAGTAGCTAACGCAGACCAGTTTAATCGGGTAACCGAAATAAAAATAAAGTTAAGAGTCTACTATTATTGAGAACCCAGGACTATATAGCGATAGAATAGCTTAGTGATAACGTTTTATCTTGAAGTTTAAAAAAATAGAGTGCGCCATTCTTCGATAACGTAGGTCGAATGCTACCACCACATGCTAACGTTGCACTATTGTGGATGAAAAAAAGTACACTTACATTTAACTCATTAAATAGGTATGTTTCTTGTTCAAGTAGTGGGATATGTTGGACATCATATCCTTTTTTAAATAAAACAACATACACAGAAGCAGGTGGACAGTATTTATTATTTGAAGCTGTAATAAAGTCACGTAATCGAAAAACAATATTTTGATTTGATCTACAAGGTGTTTAGCAGGCAACATTGTGAAATATTGTTTCAATTTTGAATACGTCTAGAAAACTGAATCCTTAGCTAAACTGACAACTTACTGAGGGGCACTAGCTAACGCTCAAACTTCATCAAGTAGCTGGTCAATTCCCAACCGTTGTTGCTACCTGGACGTGGTGGCTAGGCTTGCCTGCCGTGATGAACCAATCGGGTTATACTGACTGGAACAATCGTTCCTCAAGGTCCTACCATACCGGGTAGGCCGGTTGAAGAATGGTAAGACAAAAAGCAGCAAATTCAAGGTTGGAGGGTGAAGTCGTACAGCTGACTGTACAGAAGGGTGACAGCAGTAAGGTGTTTGCTCCCGACAACCAGCATGACAGGGTGGGGTTACAAAAGGCACGCCCTAAAAACACACCTCACCTTATCCCACGGATATTCATCTCCGACGGTAAGGTTTCAACAAGTACGGAGGTAACACAAAAACTACCTGCAAAAAGGTCGCGTGTGACTGGCCTCAAGTAGTTGTCCCATGGGCACTGCGGTCACGCTCTCAGGTCACTAAGACCAAATCTAACCCAATTTCCTTTTCAGTTACATCCAAAAGAACCCTTCCACAATGTGGGTAATCGGGAAGTGATAACCACCCCCATACATATAAAATCACCCAAGACCACTGTATTCATAATCATACTAAAGTTGGTCAATTGGAATTGTTGGAAGCATAAAAAGCTCCTGAACGCTTTTCATATTTTACAGCTCCTGGGAAACTGTTTTAACTCACCTAGTCACCATTCCGTAGTCCCTGACTTCTTCAGTTATGACTGTTAAAATCCCCTTATGATTGACGAGAAAAATGACAACCACCGCTAAATGTTCAATAATAAAATGGTTGGGAATCACTTATAATAAACCATACCATTGTTCGACAAATCTAACCATTAAAAACATTCTGAGTTTATACGCTGAAATAGTATATGAATCTCCTTAATTTTTGGTTATTATTAACTAACTTATTCTACTTACAACATTCCCCGTTCGAGAAACAAATACAAAAATCAGACAAGTAATCCCAAGAACATCAAAAAACTGAGATTGAACTGAAACACCATCAGTATACTCAGTATAAATCAGAGCTACACTTGAAAGTTTGTCATGGTCGTAGGTTTCGAACCACCGTCATCTACCTGAATACTACTATTATCACAGTAGTTGTTTGTAACCACTTATGCTACTTTCTAGGCGATTGGAGGTATCCAAGTTGCTCTTGGAAATACAAGAAACAAAACGACAGTAGAAAACTAAACTACTTACCAACTTAGCAAGAGTATCCTCATCGAGCTTCCTAGATTCAGGTGGCATTTTTAAGTTTTTAGAAAGCTATCTGATTGAATATTTAAACTGAATCGCCAGTATTTTCTGAAATGAGATAAACAAGAAAATCAAGATGTTTTATGACTAGCAAAATTAATTGGGACTGACATTGTTCAATATTAAAATCTTGCATCACCAACGTGAACCGTGACTCGAAAAAATATCAAATGCATTGTCAGAAGTACAGAGTTATGTGATGCCAATGTGCAATACAGTATATCTTGTAACCGGCTTACGTTAAAAACATGTGAGACTCCTTAAATGAAGACTAATGGATAGCAACCACCTATACTGTCTACACAAAATAGAAAATAAATATTCCAACTTTCTGAGATATCAGTTTCCGCGGACCATGACTCAGATCTACAGGCTGGGGAGTGGAGATAGCTGCCGATCAAAACACTTATTTTCCAAAATCATATCCTAGGTGGTTCAGATGCAAAATGATGGACACTAAAGTTCCTAGGGTAAAGTTGCATTACTGGCTGAGTTGATATTAGTCAAATAACTGCTCCAAAAATGCTTTTTTACAGACGAAGAGAGTTATACAATATCACCTGTAAAAGGTTCACTAATCTTACTCTACATATTTTCGGTACTAGTTGTCAAGTTTACAGCGGAAACGAAGCAGCTAAACAGGCTGTCCAGCATAGTGTTTCTTTCTCCTTATGACTCATTTATTTTATTATTTATTTATTTGAACATATAAATATTGGTACAACAGAGCGCCAATATATATGCGCCACACAAAACAATGAGAATTCGAAGAGGAAAAAAAGGCAAGGAGCGTAAAAAAAAGAGAACAATAACGAAGAGATTGGTGTAAGGTAGTGTAGTAATAATAATAGTAATAATGAGGGAACGGAAAGGTACAATCAGAAGAAATCTTTCAGGTAAGGGAGACACAACCACTTTTTATGAAGAAAGTAAAAGAAGGTTACAGCAGGATCGCCACTGGGTTCTATTCTGAGACATATCTGATAACGTCTCTAGCCACTGTGTAGCACCATCTCTCGGACCCCAACAAGGGAGTCGTGAAAGACCAACAGAAGCCAGTCCTGTACAGCTTTCTTTCATACCACGACACCATATCATACACTAACCATCTATCCGCTTTTCCAACCAGTCCCAGAGTCGGCAAATAATCCACGACGTGGAATTCTCTGGGACGACATTTGTAGAACATGTCCAAGCCATCGAAGTCGGTGTTTTAAGATGGTGACACCAATCGCATTATCATCTCTGTGCCCGAACACACAATGCCGAACCTTTGCATTACTGACATGGTGTTGTCACTGGATGTCAGCAATCCTTCGGAGACAACAATGATTGAACATAGAGAGTCGTCTAACATCCTCAACTGGGAGAGGCCAGGTTTCACAAGCATAGAACAAAACTGTTCTCACGGACACGTTGTAGATCCGAGCTTTTACAGACAGACTAACATCGCGAAGGCGCTAAAGATGGCCCAGATTGGCATAAGCCGCTCTGGCTTTCACTATACGTGAATCGATCTCATCACTCACGCCACCACTAGCACTTATGCAACTAACCAGATGCAAAAACTTCTCGACTACTATCCGCCCACTACCCAGGGTGAGTACAGGGTTAGAATCCTGCCAGCCTTTTAAAAGTACTTTGCACTTCGAAGGTGGAAAGCACATACCATTATAAGCCGAAATATTATGTTAACATCAATTAGGCCAGATAATGTAGTGATTATTCGAGGACAACGAGGACTAATAACCGACGTCAGAGAAAGTGGATTAATTAAGATTAGACATTATGTGAACTCTTCAGATTTCTTTTCGAACCCTTCCTATCTAGTGATATAAGCATATTTATGCGCTCAGTCGTTAGTCATGAACACATGTGGATATCTGGTAGTGACATCGTTTATAAGTGCATGTCTATAAGGGAGGCCAATTATGAAGAGATGATTCCATTACTTCATATATTTGGGTAGTGAAACTTTAAATTTGTGGCAATACATTGATGCTTTTTATTTAAATCTACCATCCTTACATTTTTGTCAGCACCAAACTAAGAAATTTGATGTCACTGAGGATGTGCGGAAGAAGCAACCTCACGCAGCAGCCAGTACATGGATTTTGAATTCCCATCAATGTATGTATTATGAATACACAAATAACGCTGGCATACTAAATGAGTTCAGTGTAACGGACGACTAGCCCGTCGTAAAATCCAAAGTTTTGCACTATACCGGTGGGCTGCAACGAGTTATTAAATTTACGGTAGACGAGTTCGATGATACTAAGGTGTTTTCATTGAGCGGTATCATTGATGCAAGCACACCGGAAAACATGGGTGAAAACACAGTAACATTGTAATTAAACCTGTACACAATTAGTAGAGAGACACTAAGGCAAAAAGATAACTACTTGAACTAATCTGTTAATTTAGATGTAAGTCAGAACAAACATGGATGCATAATAATATGAATTCATTATATTTCATGGTTTCTTATCAACTGCTTACAACCAAATATGTGTTAAAATTTTTGTGAAGGGTGACGAGACATCAAACAAGACCATGAATTTATCGGAAAAATTTAGACCATCAAACTTTTGTACAAATTCAAAACTGTCCTTCAGACTGTAGGGTGCTAGATTCTTACGGGTTGGTTCTAAGCATCCTGTTAGCCGGTAGGCCAGTTTATAGAAAGGTGATCCAGAAAAACTTCGATTTTATAAGAGCATATGAAGTAATGATTCACTTTCATCTATTTTCCTACAGGTGCCCTGATATAGGAATTTACATGTTCGCCGCTGAGTGAAAAAGACCCTGAACAATTTATAGACAGAACATGATATAAGGAACAAACTGAATAAACGTCACCAAACGAGAAAGGATAATGCAAGTGATAACTTCAACCTAGAGCTTTTATCGTTTCTAAGATATTTTTGCAATATTAAACTTCGCCTCATTTTATAATCAATGATTGAAGAATGCCCCCCCCAATAACTGTATTTCGAACATTTCAAAATAGTCTACGATAACCAGGACAGCGACTGAAGGAGTACTGTTTAATGAAACGCCGAACATAGTGCCTACTTTGAATTTTTTTTATAAATCAATTATGTAATGTACGTCTTCCTTATCACTGTCGTCTGCTACACCGGCACTTTATAAACTGATACGTTCTATTTCTTTTTGAGATAGCAATTGGTGACAATAGGACTTGCCAGTTAGTAAGAGGATGTATTGCTGCCATAGGAATTTTGATGTCCATGTTATTTCTGTTGAATACTGATGATCAATATAAATTTGATAATATGCGTTAATTAGCATTCTCACCAATGATCATTTTTGTTGGAAAGGCGAAATCCGGAGGAATATATATACCGTTGGCGCAGGCGCTTGAGTGAGGCCGGGAGGAAAGTGGACGATTTGGTGTAGATTTGTGCAAAAATAGGCGATTCGGCTACAATTAAGGTATGAATTAATAAATGTTTCGCCCCGAGACATTTAGGAACATGTCTCATTATTTCTCCATAGTCGGAGAAAAAGGAGACTTTTAGTTGCAGTGTCGCTTGGATTAACACTGAATCGCCTTAGCCGATGTCACTTATATCTTCCCAAAGTTCGCCTTTAATTCCCCGTTCTTGATTAATCGGGAAAATCCTTAAGGAGCACAGAACAGGCATATTCATAAACAATATAGTTTAGCCTTTGGTAATTTCGTGTCTGGCGTATGTTTGATACCACAGAAGTGTGAAGAGCGGTGTATGAGGAAATACAAAAGAGAAAAAACGACCTAACGATCCATTAAGCACAGTGAATTTAAATTTAGCAGTGTAAGCTACCGACAATTAGCAAGAGTGTCCGGTCAGGACAATCTGATAACCGAAGCTAGCATTTGACAGCTTTGAATGGACTTCAATAAAGCAGGATGCAATTCAATCAAATAACTGGGACCAGTGTAGGAGTGAATTCTCTGATGATCACGGATTTCGAAATGCGTATTAATTCTCTGCTTAACCAGAACCCAACTAATTGCAATTGCGCAATTAGGCATTGATCCACACAACCAATTATTTAGTAACCGAAAAATAAAGGGTTGTTTCTACTTTACCATTACTGGTGTTCGAACAATGTAATGGACAACTTGGATGCAATTGCCGTTGGAGTAATTTCTCCTGTGAGATGCGGGTAAGTTCTCAGCTCACTTAGCTTCTAACTAACAGCAACGGTCAAAAATAAAAGGTATCAATCCATACACTCAATAATTTTACATCAAAGGTCGTTCCTACCTTACCAAAACGTTATAATAATAAAAACTCGTAAAAGCGCCGGATAAAACAACAAATTGAAGGGAGTATACAGAGTGATCCTAGTTACTCCTGATGCATATAAACAATGAAAAGTTTACAATTTAGAATCACAGATTTGTCTAAAGATGCATGCAGGAGATGGAATAAAAAACTTTGATTTCGCCTGCCACGTTGTTTTTAATGTGCAACGTTTTCCAAAGACATCAATGATACCTTACAAGTTTGTAGATGTTTTAGAATGTAGCGATAAATAAATCCCAAAAATAAATAGCTCTGTAAGTTTTCAACATTGGATGCTGACCATATGTTTTAGTGGACTCATCTAGCTGAAGGCGCTCGGTCATGCATCCGCACCAGATCACGTGTGGTAACGCTGTGCTCAACATCTACCACAATCGCTAGCCAGATTGGATCAGAGAAGGTATTGCTGGTAAAAGCATTGTCAAACACTGAATACCTGTGTCAACTTCATTGGTGAGCCTAACGTGATCTGGTACACCTATTTGCAACTGTGAGTCTGTTTTTTGGGGATTTTTTTAATACATTATTGCCTTATTTTTATTTTTTAATACATTGTGATATTTTTTCACGTGTTTTAGGATATCTATATGTTTTTCCCTCGTATTCTCGTATTTAATATTCCCCTATGACCGAACAGACTCCTAAGGTATTTAAGATGAAGACCATGTCACC